CTATTCGACCACAAGACCACTGGATGTCGTCGAGGTCGTTATCCATGATTGGTGCCAGGAAAGCCATACCAGCTGGCAACGAGTACGACGGCGCACGCAAATCCCTCAAACGCCAAATAGTGAAGAGTCTAAAGAAAGACCGAGAGCTCTGGTGGATATCGAAAGCTCGGGAGATTGAGAGGGCTTTTGCTGCGAGAATCAGCCGTGCCCTTTATCAACTGATACGATCGACTGGCCCTAGGAAAGCAACGGTCAGTGAAACGATAAGTGAAAAAGATGGCTCATTAATTCACTGGAGAGATGGGCCGAACACTTCGAAGAGCAGTCCAGCTGGCCTCCTGCAACACAGCCGGTGGAGATAATGCATACGGGCGAATGGAAAATAAACTTTGATCGTCCTTCGGGAGAAAAAAGCTAAAGTACGTAATATCCGCACTGAAATCTGAGAAGGCACCAGGACCGGACGGTCTCTGTCCAGCTCTTTTTAAAGAAGGCAGAGCAGTTCTGGTGACCTATCTGACAAAGCTTATTGGTGCTGCATGGAACGAAGAGAACGTGCCGCGGAATAGAGCATGACGACAGTTATCCCTGTCTTTAAAAAGGGTCACGGACGCTATGTGAAAACCAACGTGGCACCATTCTATTAGTTGTTGCATCGAAAGTGCTCTTTGGTCTTATCCTTCGAAGGCAGATCGAACACGGAGAGAAAGATCCGTGAAAACCAAGCTGGATTCTGTCCTGCGAAAGATGATATTTCCATCCGGGTTGGGAATGCCAAAGCAGCTTTTGTGAACCCGTGTCATCTGTGGCGTAGGCGTGACCCCAGCTTATCCGTCAAGGGTCGAGTTTACAATGCTGCGGTGTGTTCCATCCTACTATTTGGATCAGAAACCTGGTTGTTGCTCTCTGAAGACGCCAAAAGACTTTCAGTGTTTGACCGTCGATGTCTTGGGAACATTGACCGAGTCTGGTGGGAACACTGGATCAGCAATTCTGAAGTACGTCGAATGGTATTCGGAGAAATCACTCACCCTCGATAGATGAACTGATCACACTGCACAAGTTGCGCTGGCTTGGCTACATGCTGCGTATGCCAGTCGACCGACTTTTTCGAAGGGCTCTTTTCGCCCAACCATGCGAAGGGTGGAAGAGAGCCAGAGGCGGTCAAACAATGACTTAGCAGCGAAGTATGAAAGCCATTACCAGCAAACTCAGCTGCGCTGGTCACTGCCGTCTTCCTGGATGGGGACCCCGAGACGGGCCACATCAATGGCTAGAGACATTATCAGACATGGCCCAGTCGCGCCCTCAATGGCGCTCATGCATCAAAGCTATTGCCTTCAATGCATAGCTCCTTTTCCACCCCTCCGCACTTGACAACCCACTGACAGTGCTGGATTTATGCCCCAATTTACCAGCTCGCGCGTGCAATGCACAGCTACCTACCCCCCAATCATCGGTGAACGAAACTGCGGCAGCTACAACCACTGCATGACAAGTACGCGGTTCTAACAGTTGACAAGGATGATAATGAGTGCATCTGATGGAAGGTGATATTTGTTACGGAAATTACGGAACCGCTCTGCAGTGTTTGTTGATTATTGTTTAATGCTAAACGATGTCAAGGAAATTTCAAGGGGAAGTTTTTTGGCAATATCTACTTTCAAAAACTGTGTGCAGACGGGGTACTTTCTTTCTTGGCTTGTAGCCGCTTAGTTCGTGTTCGTTAATAAAATAACTCCGTAGTGAAGGGCGTTCATCCTTTCGTCTAGTGCCGTCGCCTGGATACAGATAAAAAGGGATGTTTAATAATGAACGCAAACTAGGTGGTTGTTGTAAATGCCTTGTAGTTGGGTGATTGATAGGAGATTGGTGCAGCTTATTTTATCGCGTTGAACAGTTTAATTTGAGTTTGAGTAGGCAATATCAAGGAAGAAGACAAAGGAAACCTGATGAATGTTCGCTATACCGAGAGTGAATCAACTGAAGAAAGGGCTGCGGCCCAGTTGGCTACAACAGAGAAGTTGAAATCTCAGTGGCATCTTACAAAGATCAAATTGTTAGTTAGGACCTGACCGTCGTAACATCGATTACAAGCCATCAGACACGAAAGTAAATATCTCACCTGCACGGAGGTTTTAAAACTGGGTACTCTCAAGCGTCCTCTTGTGTTGTGTGACTGCGAGACGTGGCCTCTGCGGACAGATGATGTGAGGGGTATTCAGGTTTTTGGCCACCGTTGTCTCAGAAGCGTTGCAGGTTTTGGATTGCGTCAACTGATTAGTAACGATATGATTAGAAAACGGGTATTTGGTTGTGCAGCAGGTACTTCAATCACGGAAAACTTCCAGCACCGTCAACCCAGTACCACGGATTACGATGGCTCGGCCATGTTCTACGCTTGCCCAAACACTGTCTAACGAGCCGAGCGTTGCACTCTGTGCCTTCTTCGGGACAGCGCAAACCACAAAGCTGATGAGTTATGGCTTGGTGCAAAGGCGTGAAAGAGATTACGAGAGTTTGGGCGTTGTTGTTGGGTGTTGTACGCCTTCCAGGATGGGGTCACCGTGACCTCACTTGCGCCTAGCTGGACACGCTGGAAGAAATGGTTGCTGACCGATGTCAATGGTGTTCATGCTGTGAGTTTCTTTCCAGATTGCCTGATCGGGTGCTCGGGCACCTCAGAATGCTTCATATGGGCCGGCACTAGATCCTCTTTCTCATCCACTCTCTTTTGTTTTCAATCTAAATCTCTAAACTTAATTAGATGAACTTTACGGTTATATGGCATTGAAGCATCAATGTCAATACTGATGATGATGATGTCCTCTTGAATTTTCCTGGACGTTATTTTGATATTAAATAATGAAAATAACTGGAAAATGGTTCCCAGATTTTTGTGTCAAACCTCACCTCCCATCAGATGCGGGGACGGAGCTTGGACATCAAGTCTCAGTTGACAGTGGCACAGTAGTAGTAAATTTCGACCGTACGGACTATATCTTGTCATTTGACGACCATCATTCCGCACAATCTACTCTGGATAAAGTTTGCTATTTCTGAACTCTGGATGTTGTAGATGTGGACACCTCGAGTGTTTGTGGTACGCTGACCCTCGTTTGCTTTCTCTGTCTTTTATTTGTTTATCTTTCTTGTTCCTACAGTAGGAACTCATTCAGATAAATTAGTCTGGCTGTACAGCGTGAAGCACCAGTGTTTACTGCTGATGTTTCTGTCAGTGACGATGATGAGGTGCCTGCGCTATTTTAGACTGTTGATGAAGGTTAGGATGTGCAACTCCGCAGATTGCCCGGTGCTGTAGTGTGCCTGTGAGACGGCAAAGAAATATAAATGCAACTACGAGAAGTCTGGGTACTGACTGAAAGTCTCATTCCAAGCTGGGGTCCTTATGATCCCCCCGTGGGTGGATGGAGACGCTCCAAAAGATGTCAGTTACTCGATATCAGCGGCGTTCTCATAGTCTCTATCCAGATTCCCTCAGTGAGTGCCTGGACGTGTAGGCACTTCAAAGTGATTGTGATGGGCTGGTATCGTGTCCCATTCTTGTGTTATCTTTCTTGATGATAAGGCTTACGCGTGACTGATGGTTTTACGGCCGAACACCGATGACTTCTGCGAAACTTGACTACTGCGGCGAAGCTAGAAGACCACCATCTGATTTTAACCATAGATGCTTGTGTGGCGTTGCGCACGTGTGTTGGGCCACTTAGTGAACATTTTGATATCATTTGCGAAACTGGTCCGTGTTATTCATCACGGAAGCTCACTTGCATAGACAGGTATTGTTTGTCATATCAGGATCCGTGTGGAAGAAGTATCAAGTGGGCGGACTATGACATGATAGGGAGGTACCAAAGGCGAAATTCGCATAGCCTACGTTGGTGTACGTCTTCTACCAGGAAGGGGAAGCTCAATGGGTGTTTGGAAACCGTTGCCGATATGAGTGAGTAGCGAAACCAAGGGCGCTTTAACGCTCCCTAATTCGCCATCATTCCTTGAATTGACCGATCGTTTCGTCACTGTTTTGAGCTTCGTCTTTTTGGGCCTCTGGCAAGGAACCATTGCAGCCAGAACTTCCATGCCTGCCTAAATGGTTTATAAATGAAAAAGAGAATAGGTACTTTAAGACTCCCTATCACATACTTCTTTGTTATTGTGTGCCACGGTGCCTCGTTCGAGAAATGTTCCGGGTATACACTATTAACCATTGACCTTTGACCGTCTCACCTCAGAATCATTTCATTATGAATTTCTCACGTCTTAGTGAACATTTTGATATCATTTGCGAAACTGGTCCGTGTTATTCATCACGGAAGCTCACTTGCATAGACAGGTATTGTTTGTCATATCAGGATCCGTGTGGAAGAAGTATCAAGTGGGCGGACTATGACATGATAGGGAGGTACCAAAGGCGAAATTCGCATAGCCTACGTTGGTGTACGTCTTCTACCAGGAAGGGGAAGCTCAATGGGTGTTTGGAAACCGTTGCCGATATGAGTGAGTAGCGAAACCAAGGGCGCTTTAACGCTCCCTAATTCGCCATCATTCCTTGAATTGACCGATCGTTTCGTCACTGTTTTGAGCTTCGTCTTTTTGGGCCTCTGGCAAGGAACCATTGCAGCCAGAACTTCCATGCCTGTCTAAATGGTTTATAAATGAAAAAGAGAATAGGTACTTTAAGACTCCCTATCACATACTTCTTTGTTATTGTGTGGCACAGTGCCTCGTTCGAGAAATGTTCCGGGTATACACTATTAACCATTGACCTTTGACCGTCTCACCTCAGAATCATTTCATTATGAATTTGCTCACGTCTTCTTCTGTTTACTTATTAGCTACTGCTGGAGTAGTCTAATTCACTCGATGAATCCAGATCAGTTGTAAGCATAGCGTATGGCGGCTAGCGTTTCCAACGCGTTTTCTGATCTCTTTTACGGTAATCCGTTCAGCACACCAGTGGGAAGTCTCATCGGTAAGTTTCACCAAATTTTACCACACTCACTAAATAACGTACTAACTTATTGCTGGCGCTTACAACTACTTGGAAAAATCCTTTGTATCTGTCACACTGTGAAAAAAGGTTGCCAATGCGTCCTATTTGTTCCCGGTTGATGAAACGCGTACCTACTTCAATCGTGGCGGTTTCCTCCATCCAGGGAGTAGGGTTGCTTTAGTTCCTCTTACTATGCAACCACGTGACTGGCACTGATACTTATCCTAAAGGAACCGGGCTAGCCAAATTCTAAGTTAGAGTGTTGATTTTGTTTATATGAGGTAGGCGATGCTAGCGGATAGCTCGAAAAGTTGGCGACCATCAGCTGTTTCTGTACATGACTTCACGCATGCTATCAATCCAACGTGGGGTTCATGTAAGGACCCCTTTCTTGACCCCTTTCTACTTCATACGGAGACAACGTTGGATTGATGGCATGGATCAGTTGGATCCCGATGCCAAGCAACTAGTATTGTCTGGAGGCAGATACCGAGAGACGCGTCATTTTCCAATTTCACGTTTGTCCCAGTCGATGCCTCATGGAAACCATCAGTTGCGTACTCCCTTCACAATGTTAGAACATAATTTTGCGTGCTTTAAACAAATAAAACACTTACAAAACTTTACGTCCGGATTTTGTTCTAAAGCCAATGGTCCGTGATTGGTTTACATAACCCGTTGAAGCCCAAGTAAGGTTAATGCACTGACTACCCTTTATCCATTGAATGTGTCTAGATAGATTTTACATATCACCGGTGAAAGGAAGAAGGCCTTTGCTGCGGATTTATTTATTAGAAAACGCCAACTGAACAGTTATAGGCTATTGGACAGGGAAACAAAACTCTCGTATTCATCTTGTTAACAAAAACTGAATATCCATCTTCTCCTTGAACGCGTCTTCCTGAACTTTCCTGGATATTCATTGGCTGTTATTCAATTGCAAGCAAATGCTGCAAAGTGACTCCACAAAGTCCGTAATAGATATCACTTTTCAAGAGATGTAAAGCGGATGTACGAGAGAACATACTACTCGCTTGCCACTCTCATCAGTAGTATCACCGCTACACTGGTGTTGCTGCATCTTATGCAACTTTATCCTCACACAGGGGGACGCCACATTGCAACCGGCCTCCGGACGTCTTTTGGGATAGCTTTTCTCTATGGGAAAACTTCGTGCTAAATATTCGCTGATGGGCAGTGTTCATTTGGCCCTCCGGATGGATTACTGTATGTTAGCGACATTATTGAACTGGCTGATGACATTATTTAAAGTTGGTGCTTCAGTGTCAGGACCATGGTACCCAACTACGTCGCATTAGGACTTTATTTACACTGATAAGCGGTGGGTAAAACTTTCCTTTTGGCTGGGCAGCAGCGTACGATTTATTGTACGGCCTCGGCAATAGACGATACACTGGTGAAGTTTGACGTCTGACCTTCTGGAGACAGTAGAGTTTGTGCTCAGATAACCTTTTAGTACATATTCTCCCGGCCGTGCCTTCTGTCCGGATAAGTACTTGAAATAATTGCCAAGTCACGTGGCAAGTCATGTATACCTGACTTGCTTGCCTTTGAATGTCGCGCTTTGGACTTGGCTTCCCATCATAGTCACTTCAATTCGGATCGCACTGAATCGAAGAGCTTCTTGTGAACCATTCTTTGGGAACAGCCACGCAGAGTTACGCTTCGAAAACTTGTGCGTTACCGTCATTGGTTAGTTGCACAATGCGACTTTTTTCCATAAAGTTGATCAAACTGGAGTGTGTTCACACTTATCCATGACATTTATGTTTTGCCGGCTGTCAACAGAGGAATCCACCGAATCCTTCGTTGGTCCGGAACTATGGCAGCTGTTCACCCAAGTCTGCGATGCTGTCAATCATTCGGTCACTGGGTAAGTTTTCTGTCCAACACCGAAACATGGCATTTCTTCCTCTCCCCAGACCCAAAGATGCGGTTCGCGCCATTCGACGTCGTTTCGTTACTAGCGTCACTTCCAACGAGACAGTGGCGATGCATAGCCTTTTGCTTTTGGAAACTTGTGTACGGAATTGTGGTTACCGGTTTCATGTAGCCTTTGCTACGCGAGACAACTTGAGGGATTTTGCGAAGTTTGCCTATCCCGACGCGGAGGGCGTCCCGGAACCAATCAAGCACAAGCTATTGTCTTTGATTCAGGTATGTCTTTGTGACGGTTCACAAGTTGATTCCCACACTGCGTTTTATGTGGTGCTAACACCTGCAGTTACAGAGAAGTACTATTTATTGACAAGTTTGTAATCCNGAGTTGACGTGTCGTGTAGGCTTGTTTCCTTCTGATAGCTTGGATAGAACTTTGTTTTGAATTCATTTGGGCCACTACCTGGGCCGATTTCGTTCTAAGTACTGTAGCTGAATATGCCTCAGCCCTGGTATTCCTGTTACAACGAGAACACGTCTGATAGAGGTTCCGGTGCAGGGAACAATTAACTAATTATATCCTTCTGAGTGACTACCTAAGCCCTGACAGACCGCCATGGGTTCGCGAGCTATGTAGACGTTACACCCTACAGCAAACGTCCAGTTGAAGACCTATCACCACTTGCGTTTAGAAACACCATTCCTCGGTTGTAAGTTCAGAAGGCGCGGACGAAACATATCTCATTCAGCTGTTTCCTATTTTTGCGTTGGCAATGAGAAAGGAAACTATCTTCGTAGCAGTCAATATGAAACCGGATGTAGCGTACAATCGTTCGAATGTGCGTAGCTAGCATGCCATTCCAAGTAAGCACGAGGGCTGGGATACTGCCAGGTTGCCCGAGCCCAGACAGGAGAAGTCGAGACGCAAAGGCCGGGTTTGATCCACGGACCTTCCGGCCTGTAAATTCGCGCCCTAACCACTGAGGCATCTCACCCCAACGTACAAAAAAGGAAACCTAGGGTGTAAATTCGCGCTCTAACCACCGAAGCATCTCACCCCAGTATACAAAAAGGGAAACCTCGGGCCATATAGGGAATTCATGTGAAGCAACAAAGGAATTTTCAGGTCACGCAGAGTTGGATCACTGGTGATGACATCATGGGTGAATTTCTTCGTATTTGGCCATGGATATGACAGAGTTTGCTTGATGTATGTTCAAACCAGCCATATGAGGTTAGAGCCAGTGTTTAGAACCCACAGGGTGAAACCGGTCGTGGGCTGTTGAAGAGTTTCCAGCAACCTTGTGAGTAGTTTCCTTCATGAAAATATACTGCGATATCTCGAATATCGTGCCAACTGAATCATGAGGCGGCCTGTGTGCAGCACATTCAGTTGTAGAATATCATAAACGAGAGATTCAATTGAGTCTCTCGTGAAAGCCAAATTGATTTGCAAATGAGTGTATTTCTCGAAAACCTAGGGCTTTATAGGAAATTCGTGTGAAACGACAAACGAATTTTCAGGTATGCAGAGTTGGATTACTAGTGATGACAGTATGGGTGAATTTTTCTATACTTGGCCATGGAAGTGGGCGAGTTTGTCTGATGTGTGTTCAAGCCAGTCATATGAGGTTAGAGCCAGTATTTAGAAACTGCCATCGATGCGAAGTCTTCAGCGGTCGGGGTATGTTTCCGAGATGTTTCAGTTTGTGCATAGTCTACCGGTTTCGGAGTGGTCGAAACGGCGGACCTGTCTAAATAATGCCATCCACTGCAGTGTTTTGACACTTTCTTGGAATGAAGAAACTATCAAGACATTGTAAGGCTCATCTGCACTTTTGTTTCGATTCATTTACCTAGTTGTTTATCCAAACTACCTCTCGACCTGCAGCCGTGTGGTGATATTAGTTTAAAGAACATAGTTTTAGGTAGTGCCGGTTTTTGAAACTCATGAACTTGACCTTTGAACTCCCGGAAGCCTTGTCTATCCAAAACTGCGCACTGATATGTGGAGGTGCTTCACCAACTGTATGCTTTTTTCCACGCTCGATAGTTTAGGTCAAGACATTGCGGTTGAATGTTATACATTTGTTGTGCTTCCCAACTCCCATTGCTAAATTCATGAAAGACATTTTGCGCAGCCTTGCTCACTGCTTTCAACGAAGGAATAATTTCGAAAAAAAAAACAGCCCATTTGGATTGTCAGTGTGTTGAAATATAGGTACCTCGGGTGTGTTTATTGATGTCTGACCATATGGTCCTCAGTCTGTTCGCCAATGGCCAACTGCCAAGCTCGGCGAACAGATCAACGACCACTTGATCCAGCACCTATTTGGTTTGCATCAGGGAAGTCGTAGTTGGACGGAAAAGTGACCAAAATCTTGTAGTAATACGCAGCCATACCGTCGTATTAGAATGCTATTTGTTACAGTAAGGAATAGTCTCGACTCTAGATATGTAGGGTAAACCAAAGCTGGTTACTGAAACGGTACATCAAGGAGTAATGTGTTGAGTAAGTCCCTGTCAAAGGAAACGCCTATGAGATCGCCCAAATATTGGCTCAATGATTATACACGGAGCACTTTTTTGACGGACTTTTATGTCAAAACTTTGCTTGTTCTCTGGCGTTGCTGAAATTGGGCAGTCTTTAAACCTGCAACATGACTTGTCGAAGCGGGTTCTTGTATAATAATTCTGGTAGAATATCTGTTTATTTTACACCCTACTGGTAATGTTCCGTACTCTCGTGTTTTTGTTCCTGGATTCCCTTGAAATTAGGGAAGATTTATCCAGACCTTAGAGCTCGAGATGGTCCTTTAGTTAGGGTGAAAGAGAAAGCGTTCACTTGTAGCACCCTTCCGGTGCCTAGCTGTCATGCCACCCGAAGGAAGCACGAGGGCTGGGATACTGCCAGGTTGCCCAAGCCTAGACAGGGGAAGTCGAGACGCATTCGAACCGCGAACCTTCCGGTCAGTAAATTCGCGCTCTAACCACTTGAGCCATTTCGCCCCCCTTTAGTTAGGGTACCAACTATCTGACCGGAAAGTTTGTGGTTCGAGCCCAACTCTCACATCATTTGCCCGTGGTGACATGTTACAAAGTAACCTAGAGAACAACGATGAATTAGTTCCTCGTGTTTGAAACACCTGCTGCAATGAACCGTATTTCCTGCTTGATATTACTGATACTTTCCAAGTTCGAAGGTGCCACTTCCGTGGTATCCTTTGTGGGATGTGACCTCTGGACGACAGTTCATTAAGGCTTTGGCTTGTAGGCATCGATTCATGGAAAAGGACTTTGGGTATAGATCTGGGGCTTTGTCCTGTGATGTCCCTTATCTTTATCATATTAAGATATCCCGACGTTTTCCCCAATATCTTTCTGTGAACTTCCTGAGTTGGCTTGCCAATTGTTCTGGTTGTAATCTAGACCTTGCATTGTCATATCATTGTCATTCATTGTCATGAACTCGCATTGTCGTATCAGATGCGCTGTACGAAAGCCTGTCAACACAAAAAGAAGTAGTACACAAGATCAACCATAAATCTTCGAGAACTGTCTTATTGACATTCGACGGACTTTCTTTATGATTTACAATATAGGCTCAGACATTTTCCTGTCATCTCTGCTCACGGTCGATTATGCCGACCTCGAGGAAATCGCCCAACGTTGGTCTTTTTATGGAGGTCTCTGATCCAGAAAGCCCTATACTTCTCTAGCGGATTCTGTTTTTAGTGTTATGGCGGCAGAATTAGAAGGGCGAGAGAGTTTGGTATACCTCTAACTTCTCTTCGTTATTTCCTTAATTTCACACCACTACTCTTCACGTGCAGGACTGGTCTTCGGAATTCGGGACACAGGTCGATTTCCAGGAGTTTCGAAACGTATACACTGAGCTTCGCGCGCGTGGAGTGTTGTTCCCCTCACCAACGCAAACAAGGTCCCATACAGAATCCAACTCTCCGCTAGTGAGTGTTCACTTTGTTATCATATTTTTGGAAGTTGAAGACCCTCGGTATTTCATCATCATCCTCTAGTGGCCTTTCTCATTCAGTACCCACCCACTAACACAAATATCGATGTTGAAATCGACACAAACATGTTCATTTATCCACTTGCTTGTGTAAAACAGAAACCATTACCAGTCCAAAACAAGTTGAAACCGAAGGTCCTCAAGATTCGTGGGCCCCATTGAGCCATAATGGTGTGTGTGTCTCCTACTACGTTGGTCAGCACTCCTGGCCCTCCAACTAACGAATATGAACGTTTATAACTCCCTTCTTCTCTTAAAGTTAGGTAACTCCAGTTGTCTACTCTGGTATTGATGCTTTTAAGCGAAATGTTGAGAGGATTTGGGGCCCAACTACTGTATGCTGATGTCTGGACCCTAGTAATCTACAAAATCGATTTCTCACACCCGAAGAGTACGATCTACTGTCTGACCAGCTGTGGGTTATTGATGAAGGCAACCAAATAGTCAGCAAGCACTACTGTTGGTAACAGAAGTGCTGCTCTCAGACTTGCCTCGGGTCGAAGTTCGTACGACTATAATTGTTCACCATTTACGCGGAATTGTGAACCTCACTTCGTGTATTGTCTGAAACAACGGCGACCATCTCGTTGATGGACTTTGTATAGTTTCTTTAGGATTCGAACCCGGGTTAGGCTACTTCCAGATCTTGATATTTTTAAACGATGCACATATTCTGTTGAGGTCGGCTGTATGCATCGTCACGTCTGCTGCCATTTTTTCGGAATCGAGGGGAGAAAACTGTTTGGTAAAGCCCCGGCATATGGAGTGGTCATCCGGTGCTATTCCGGAATGGCCTGCCAGGTTTTACCAGTAGGAAAAACCGCATCGCATTTAATCACTCACTCGCCTTCTCGGGTTTGATTTTCTTCTGGTGACCGATATCAGCAACGCATCAGTCCCCATGGGTGGATTCGTGGTGATATGAAGTCTTCTCTTCTTGTGGGAAGTGTTGCTCCCCCATTGGAGCGACCACTGAAGTCGGCCTCTCTATGGGGGGTAGTTTTAACAAGTGGTCGATGATTTTTCGCTAAAGCATTCCTGATGTTTTTGTCCTCTAAATCAATAACATTACCACAGCTCATATGTTGAACATTGGCCTCACTCTGAGATTCATGAGAAACCCTACTTCGAGGACCATCATCATCATCGACAGCATGACATCAGTGTTCAACACCGATGCTTCACTGCCGTACAACCATGACTTATTTGAAAGCCTTATTGTAAAGAAGAGAATAAAGGTGGATGGGGGAGGGACTTAGTGCTAGTTTAACACAATCATTCCGAGGTATCTACACCTCCAGACATTCACTCAGGCAATCCTGATAGAAACTGACAACAAGAACGCCACTGACATCGAGGACCATAGCAGGTCCTACTCGGAGTCTTCCACCAGCAGAGAGAATAAATGTCAAAATAATTTTGAAATGTCTCATTATGGGTTACCTCGTCTTTTTCGCTCTAAAGCCCCATGCACATGTGTCGCACTAGCGTCATGACAAAGGGCCATACTTCCAACTGGTTTTTGTCATCAGCACCTTCATTTTTTGCCTCGTTAGGCCATACGTTGACCTTGACCTCCCCTGAAATGATTACGAACAATCCGAAGCTACCGTCATTCACTCACAGCTGGTTTGTAACTGTGATAGTTGACTTGGTATTCTTCTCATATGGCAAGATATCACAGCAGGTAGACGACTGAGCATCAGGATCGCATTAATTCTCTGTTACCGGGCTGGGTAAATGTAGGGGCCTGTGATACACTCTGTTGCAAACTGAGTTGGTGCTGACTGGGTGCTCAACCGAATCTCAGTTTAATCTCTTAAGCCGAATGGGCTACACAAAAACTGCCCCATGATTCACTCGGAACAACGTTCGCGGGAGAGATGGCTCAGTGGTTACAGGGGGAATTTACTTACCGGAAAGTCCGTGGTTTGAACCCAGCCTCTTCCTCGAATTCCCCTGTCTAAGCCTGGGCAACCTGGCAGTATCCAAGCCTTCGTGCTTCCTTCTCGTAGCATGGTAGTTAGGCGCCGAAGAGTACTACAGCTGGACGACTATTCAGAAGAACATTCTAGATATCAAATGTGTTTCAATGATACGTATAGGGTCGTTGATAAATAGTTTCGAACACTGACGGCTCCCCCCTTCTTGGGGTGAGTTGTATTGCAACACACTTCGACATTTCACCCCAAACGTGCTGACCACTATGCAGCAAAAAAAATATGTTAAACGGGAGATTCATGTTAAATTCAACTGAGTCTCTTGCCAACACAAGTTAACTTGCAAGATAATGTTTAACGCATCACACTTACGAAACCTAATATTTAAGATGGAAGTATGTTAAGGTTATGGAGATGTTGTTCGTGATGCGAAGGCGTTCAGCTGTAGCACCCTTCCGGGCCTAGCTGCCCATGCCACCCGAAGGAAGCACGAGGGCTGGGATACTGCCAGGTTGCCCAAGCCTAGACAGGGAAGTCGAGTGGCGGAGGTCGGATTCGAACCACGGACCTTCCGGTCAATAAATTCGCGCTCTAACCACTTGGGCCATCTCGCCCCCGTGATGCGAAACTAATTATGCGGTTTTCAAGTAAGAATGAGGGTTGATAAAATCGGGGGGATTATGTCTATCGGATGCGCCCCGAAAAATCGAAGCCGATAATTGGTTGTCAAAGAGCTTCGAATCATCCTTTATTTACGACGGAAGGTATCGCCATTTGGATCGGCAATCCAAACTTGTGCAGTAGGAAGTCTCTGCGATATGTTCGACTTAGCCAGTCCTCATCTGAATCTAGACAACCATTGTACATGCATACAGCGCCTGACCCTTCTGGTGCATCGTACTTACCTCCTTGGTGTAGTAGAAACTGGTTTGAGACAGCTCAATGTGAACTCGAGATAGCTCAGTGGTTTAGGAGCCAGCTTACAGAGCGTAATGTCCGTGGTTCGAATCCAACCTCAGCATCTCGACTGCTCCTGTCTAGGCTTAGGAAGCCTGGCAGTATCCCATCCTTCGTGTCTCCTTTCGTTGTCATGGCACCGAAAGGGTACTACTACTGAATGATGAGAGCTCGAGGTAACTCAGTGGTTAAAGCAATCAGAAGTTTGGCGGTTCGAATCCAACCTTTGCGTCTCTTCTGTCTAGGCCTGGGCGACCTGGTAGTATCTCAGCCTTCGTGCTCCCCACGGGTGGCATAGTAGCTAGACATCAAAAGTGTGATACAGCTGGACGATTATTCATTTAGGCTAGTTGGTAAAATATTAGTCTTCGTGACTTAGTTGTTGGGGCTAACGATTGTCAAATGGGTTCACCACCCTGAACTTTGACTTTAGGCTAAATGGAAAAGCCCCTCTCTACCCACGGGAGAAGCTGGAAAAAATCTGCCACAAACTATGTCTCACTACTTTAGTGCGGAGAAGATGCGATATGTTCATTGTTGATGACCGTTCCTCAAGGAAACGTCCCCGTCAAACATCCGTCAAAGCTTTCGAAAAAGTTTGGTGACAATCGGTAGATTTATTGCTGGGCAACGTTTCGCTTTTGACACAAAAGCTTCGTCAGGCCAAGTGACTAGGTTACGTGGTTGGTCGAGATTTGAGGCGGAAGGAGAACCAATCAGCTAAGTCAAGCTAAATCTCTGTTGGGTGTCGGCCGAGGGATTTTAGTGTGTTATAGTCGAAGCTGTTTTATTTTAATAAGCAATCAGCCTACCAGAATTCGGTCACTTAACCTGAAAATGCAGATCACCTGTTGATATCAATGCGCCCAGGTTAGATCAAGGTGCACAAGGTTTCCCCTTGCACATTCGTACATGTGACTGCTGAATGTAACGAGCCTAGGATAAACCGATTAGCCGGCTAGCGCAGTAATGGTCTTTGTAAGAGGGGGAAATGTGGGAAGAGTTTCGTGGGCTAAATCTTTTTGAATGCACTGAAATTTTTGCCGAACTTGGAAGGACCCACAAGGGTCCTGGTCATTAAGGCAGTAGACACTGTTGGTGGGTGGAGGTGGCCCTAAGTGGGCACCGCAATTTCGTGTAGCTTCTCGCTGAGTTTCTTTGGCCTAATATTCGATCTTTTCAAGCACAGACAATTGTGGTATTTCTCAGATTCGTCAAGCAACTAGTCGCTAATCTGGCCGCTGTTGTACATAACGGGTAAAATTGTCAACAAGTCGAGTATGACGTGAGCATTACTCAATAAGGTCTGTGTGTTTGACTGTTACTTCGGTTACAAGTTGTGTCCACCGACTAGGATCTGCCATCGATCTTAAGGGGTCAAATAACATTCTACTCTTTCCGAAAACTCATCATTCGTTATAACTCAGACTGGATTATCCTAAGTTCAAAACCTAGGTTATGCTTAGAAAGTAATTTTTTCCGCATAACCGGATGGAGAAGCGGTGTTGACATCAAATCTTATCCACCTTGCGCATGCTTAATTTGCATAGAACCGGTGGCAACCAATGGGATGCTGTGTTTTTCGTCATTCATTTTGTGTGTGTATGTTTCTGGTCTCTTGAGTATAGCTCGTTACCTATTCCGTTGTTGCTTGGTCCTTTCTTGAAGCTCGAATCTTAGATTGGTTTCAGTTGCTCCGTACCTCCTTTACTCTGCTTCTTGAGTCGCTGTAACTAATTTTGGTATTCCATTGCTCATCTCACCGTTTGTTTTCAATAAAGAAACTTCCTCCTGAAAACAAATTGCAAGCCAGTCCACCCTCCCAATTGGCATCGACCGTTGGTCACCCGGACGGGCAAACCGGATCCCTTTCCACCCAAAGCGTTCTTTCTTCCTCGGTGTCGACACCCGCACATAAAACACCGAAGCTGGACACAGATCTCGCGCAAGTTCGGGTCAATATCTGTGTACTCAGTGACTTAGTCAGTGAGGCTGAGACATCTGAGTCACCTGCAGATGTGGAGACCAGGCAGTTGATGTCTGTAAGTTTTCAGTTTCTTGTTTTTTTGTCCTCCCTAACTTTCAAAAGTTAGCTACAGCATGTAGTTCCTGACTGACATCACAGGATGAGCCTTACATTGTTGTTGCATTTGTTCCCTGTTCTGCTCGCCGCTTACACAAGAAAGCTATTTCTTGTTTTCTGTCATCTCATCCGGCACGCGCGAAATGATCGTTCAGCTGTAGCACCCTTTCGGTGCCATGCCACACGAAGGAGGCACGAGGGCTGGGATACCGCCAGGTCGCCCAAGCCTAGACAGGGGAGTCGAGAGGCAGAGGTCGGGTTCGAACCACGGACCTTCCGGTCAGTATATTCGCGCTCTAACCACTTGAGCCATCTCGCCCGGAAGGGTGTTGCAGCTGAACGATTATTCATTATTTATTATGTTATGTCATAAATAGTTATCCGAATTCACTGTATGATTTTCCCTCATGGACCATAAACTCTTGCATGACGGCACGCAAACCTGGGTTTCTTTGCGAGTATCAGTCCATTCCCCTTGTAAACCCATGCATTTCACTCAGTTCTGCCACCATCTTTTTCACACCTTTCCTCCGCTAACATAACCTGTTTATTCGATCACCCTTCCCCGGAATCAATGACCTAATAGATACGATCGCTTCTGTCTTACATCCACGTCTTATTAATATCACAAGCCTTCTCATACTAGATTCAACCATCCCTTTTCACAGTATCTTCCATACTCACATGTGCTCCACTCGGTTGTTGCCCTTCGACCCTCTATTTTGATGTTTCTTCCGGGAATAGTCATGGTTTACCTTGGGAAGAAATCTTCGCGGGCTGACCACCATTCACCTGTGGGATATGATATATGCTACTGACTTCTCCATCATCGTCATCCTCCGATGTATCTGTCCTAATCTTTTTCAATCCGTATTACTCCAAGGAGCCGGTTTATACAAGGGCCGATATTTCTTCTTCATGATTATCATCATTAATGCAACATCAGATGAGAAAATTGGTGCTTCATTACTACGCAACCATGCCAATTTGTTTGGATAAAACGAAAAGAAGAAGGAAATGAGGCAGGAAGTGGACCTAATGCTAGCCTACCACAAACATCCGAGACGCCCTCCATCTCCAGCACTCAGTAAGATAGCCTAAATAAGAATTGACTGCATGAACGCCGCTGACATCGGTTGGCCTCCATATCGTTCAGTGTCTCCGGCCAAGCACTGCGGGGGAGGGTAATGTGGGAAGTAAACCGCACCAACAAAGTTATCTGAGAATTTCATGGTTGTACGAGGGCTGGGATACTGCCAGGGCGCCCACACCTAGACAGGAGAATGATTAGGGTTCTTAACCGAAGCCTTTGGACTAGACAGGAGGATGATTAGGGTCCTTAACCGAAGCCTTTGACTCACAAGCCTAAGCGCAAGGCAGCGGTATTGGGCTGGAAATGCAAGTACATTACCATTTTTACGGAACACGTTACCACACAATTCCAACCGCCAACCTGGAGTGCCAGGGAACTCTGTTCTTCAGACCTTTACCCATGGACCAACCTGGTATGAGAGACTCTACGAGTGTCCTGCGGACAGCCCCCCCTAGTATAGCTCAATGGGTCGCCGAGCTACACAAGCCGCCACACCACAGTAAGGTCCAGTCTCCCCGTGACGGATCTCAAACTTTTCGTAACACCACTCCCCTCTGTCACATCACATTCAGCTCACCTCAAGGTCTGTGCCACTCCGAATTAGGCACCGAAAAGAACGCTCTCCTCGGCAGGTGGTGACTCGGCATACTTGACACCTTAGCTTCCAATACGAGATACATTTTTGAGTGAAATACTGTCTGTTTCACCTCAAACCCTTTTGATATCCTCCTTGCAAATTCGCAGGTTGCAGCCTGTTCCAAACATCGGTGGTCAAAGGTCCGAAGGTGTCAAGGCCGAAGTGGCCAAGTTTCGCAGCCATACAACAATACGATCAGCAATCAAATCCAATATACGCGTCCTTTAAGACACTGCGATAGGTGTTCGCTCACGCTTTTCAACTACTTCCCGAGAAAAAGTCTAATGGGCCGACCGAATGGATAAAAGTCGGGTATCCATTTTGAAACCGTATTTGGTAACAAGGACTCCAACAAGGGATGCGCTGAAGTCGCAATGTGGTGCTGTCCCAAAATATTCATTCTGAACTCAATATTGAATTTTTTGATGTCACAGTCGATTCTTCAAGAATGCAGCCATCATAGCAACTGATTTAGTTTACAGACGACAGCTGAATTCTGGTCCTGACTTCCAGCCATGCTCCCCAAGGAATGCGATGTTGTCACTGTACAACTGACTATCATCGGTAAAGGTCAAGCCAAATGATCATGCTGGTGCCAGCCACCCAGAAGACAAAGCGGTCAATAAAATCGATCTGAGTGCTCATTTGTATAACTTATGCTAGATCAGTGTAGCCGTTGTGATAAAACCGTACACAAACTTACACATAACACGCACGCATCCCTGCTGACGTCGCAGTGATATTACGCTGCCGGACGATGAAACGTTTGCACCCAAATAACTAAGGTCATGGGCCGATCGATTTCCTTGCTGTCTTTCTGCCGGGAATGGCATCGAACTCAATGGCTTCATCCACAAGTTTGCGGCTAGGGTTCGAGCCCACCCAGTCTCGCAGCAGCGCTTTGCATTTTGCAGGTGTGAAGCGCATGCCAAATCGTGAGGCAGAGTTATTTAGATTATTAATTTCTTTTTACATCACGACGGTGTCAGTTCCAAGAGGAGCTATGTTGTCTTCAGCCTCGATATCTGTGAGCGAACGCGCCGATAGCACTTAGACCCCACATTTGTCAGGGGCTGGTAGTGAGTCTTGCATATTTGCAGGTGTGTCGAAGTTAAAGACGAGGTTAAAGACGAGAGGTTAAGGGGTACAGTCTTGGGTGAGACCTTTTGACGTGGCGAACTTAGTCTGAAGCTTCCGCGGGAGTTGGCCTACAGCGACTCAAGGAGGGTCAAGAAATCATGGGGACACATTTGCTCCATAGAGACCGGGAGAGTGCCTGACGGTTTGGGGAGCCAGTCAGATTCAAAGAAGATAACTAATGTTGGTTGCTGTTCCAGAATCTGTCGGAGGATGAAAATATAATCGATGCATCCTTTTGTAGGACTGAACCCGACTTGTGTTCAGTCAGCTTTCGCAGGATAAGACCAGGGAACACCTTTGATGTGACAGTTACCAAGCAAGTACCACGGTGGTTTTCACAGCGTCCGCCTGCCGAGTTTGGAAAAAGGAACAACCGTTGACCTTCTCACGTTTCAGTACGGATATTTCGTACTTTATTTCTTCCGATGGGCGATGCAGGTTTACATTCCCCTCTCTCGTATGTACTATCTTCAGATGCTGTGTCGCGGACCAGCTAAACTTCTTTGAAGTGTTCGGTCCATCTTTCCGGTCGACGTTTTTGTGAGTGAATTGATGGGCCGCCTTTTTCACTTATTGTTTCACTGACCACCGCTTTCCTAGTGTCAGTCGATCGTATGTATCAGTTGATATGGGGCACAACTGATTCCGCCTTCTCCATCTCCCGAGCTTTCGATGTCCACCAGAACTCTCGGTCCTTCGTCACACCCTCCATTATTTGGCTTTTCAGGGATTAGCGTGCGCCATCTTACTCGCTTGACTGTGTGGATTTCCTGGCATCAATCAGGCGGTCGATCTCGACCATATACATTAACCATTTGGCTATATCGGAGAAGTTGGATGAATAGCTCCTTTCACATTTTGCCATGCTTCATCCACGTTTTCGCTACCACTACACTATTGGTTTACTGCAGTGTTGTTGAGCTAGCTCAATAACGGTAAGATAGATGCTCGCCCCGCATATCAGAAGCCCTGGTTGCGACTGACCGGATGCACCAGTTCTAAGCTGTCGTGAGAGCAAAACCCTAATTTAGAGCTTCATTTTTGTGTGGTCCAACCGGAATGGTTGCGCACAGGAGGAAGACTGTGCAAACGAGGGTGATATGAGTGCTAATTCTACACCCCCCACAACCGCCCACACAATATTCTGTTGGTGAGTACGAGTATTCTAAAAATGCCACGAATTACAAGCATCCTCAAGCTACTTTTGTAGCACACTAGCGATGAAATTAATAGAGCTCTAGATAGTTCAATGGTTAAGGCGCTAACTTACTGAACAGGAGATCGGTGCTTCGAATCCACCCTCCCACCCTCGACTGCTCTGTTCTAGGCTTGTGCAATCTGGCAGTATCCCAGCCCTAGTGGTTCCTTAGGGTGACGCAGCAGCTGGACACCAGAATGGTGTTACAGCTGAACTGTAATAATAATAATGAAATGACTTCCTTCATGAAAGATCAAAAGATCTTTCTTGGGCTTTTATTTTGTCAATCCCGACCGAGTGTAAGCTAGAACCGAAAGCTCGTCGGAGGCAACATACCTGCATTTCTCGCCCGTCCAAAATGCGATGGCGATAATATCACCAGAACCTACTCTAAGCTTTCACCCATGTTACTATCAACAGTTTAGTGTTAGGTTCGTGAATAAGATCCGATAAGCAAGGCTTTCTTACGCCTCAGCGGAACCAAAATCCATGAACGCTTCCAATGTGTATCCCATCGTTGTGAACCAGATGAGAATCGTTCTCGGTTTTGCCAAGCTCTCCGTCTGATGGTCCTGTATAAACCCAGCTACCAACCGAAGACAAATACATATGAGGAAAACTCTCGACTTTCTCTGATTATCATTCATCCGCTGATCCTCTTCTGGATCCAAGAAAATAAATTTTCAGGGGCCCAGCTACCAACCGAAGACAAATACATATAAAGAAAACACCGGCACTCTCGACTTTCTCTGATTATCATCCATCCGCTGATCCTCCTCTGGATCCAAGAAAATAAATTTTCAGGGATTCCTTGAGATTTTTACCCCGGTTTCAACGGAAATTTCCCCCTAGTCTTTGGGATCAGATACTGCGTGTTTAATAGTTCTGAACAGTTTTGGGTTTTCCTGCCCAAAGTTGCATAGGCCTTGTACATCTTATGGGGTGTTTTCAAACTCCCCGGACGTGTGGCGGTCCGGAGTGACCGCAGCTATTTGTTTTTCGGTGCATTTTTTCCGTTGTGAACTGCAACGAATGAGGATGAAATTTAGTTTTTAAAGAATACAGGTATTGTGGGATAAATAACAGCTGAATATTTTCCGCAGGAGTTATATGAATTCAGACATATCGACAGACTGTTGTCCTAAAACTGTCTGAGCAGACTTCCCAGTGTTAAGACATCATTCATGTCACGTGTGAGAAGGGTGAATGTGTGCAAATGATGGACTCAAGTTACAATAAAGTGAAGGGAAATGCTGAAGAAAGAATCCAAAAAAACGTGCATGGTAACGGGTTTGTGGTTTTGGGATAGAGTTTCGGTATTGAACCATATGTGTGCCTGTTCTGTGTCCTATTTTGGTGTTGATTTCCTGCTATTCTGGCTTCATCCTCGTAAAACTGGGAATATACTCTTCCGGAAAACCTGCTAGAACGCGTAGAAGTAAAACTTGCTTTAATGAGGGACATGTGAAAAACTGTGCTGTTGTTAGCAGTGTGTCGGAGTATTCTTAGCTTACGATCGTTAGTTGGTTGTTGGTCAGGTGGCAGTTGATCTGTTCACGGAACACGGCGAAGCGATCAACTGCCACCTGATTAACAGTCAGTCATATTTTGGTACGCGGCTTTTTACTGCGTGATGTGGGCGAAGGTTCTAGTCTTCATTTGGATATCCCAATTGTCGTCACGTTTTCTCCCGCACAGTCCTACACTCACCTCATATTTAGGATGGAAGAATTCGTAACGATAAGTTTTTCAGGAGCCAACCAGGCTCTTCTTTTTTCCACGTTGTGGCTCAGCCTAAGTTCATTTCCCGTAATATTAACTCGGAAAACTGCCTTTTTCATCCCATCCTACGTTCGTTTGCTAAAGATGATGTTATCTGTTCTAGGAAATCGCCGCTTCCCTCCAAGAAATGTCCACTCGCCTAATTCAGGCCATCTCCTGCTGGGAAGCCTATCAGGAGACGTTACCTCATCGCGGAACCACGGATGCGGTTCTTCTCGATATGATCAACGTAAATGACGAACTGCACACAGTGTTACTTCGCTACAGCAGAGCTGTTGGGGCCAGAGATATGCTAAACAGTTATGTGAGTTTTTTTGTAATTGGATGAAGGTGTGCTATTATGAGCTTTGATCAGTTTACACATCTACGAACGCAAGAATTCGTGATGTATGCATGGTCTAAGCATTCGCTCTTGTGAAGAGTTTGTCCGTATAGTGTTTATGCATCACAAACTTACAGTCCCATTGTGGGGCGAATGAAAAACAGAACCTTTGATCTGGCTTACTGACCGGGCACTACTTGGTTTCTAGTGCGATTGGCAATTCGTGAATAGGGGATATATTCTCATGTGATACGTTGCAGCATACCGAAGCAATGGCGAGTAATTTCTGTGTACTTGTTATTAAAAAGGGAAACGTTTCCACCCAGTGTGACGCAACTATCCCAACCTTGTCACTACTGTAGTTATTCTTGACCTGGTTCGGTTGCTCTAAGAGGCGATTGATTGAAAAGGAGAGGATCTGGGGGCATAACTTGACGATGGCAGGAAATGGCAAAGTTTACAGTGCGACGAACCAAAAGCGCCCTCCGAGTTTGGTCATTCATTGTCGCATGGCACACCAGATAAACACACGCATGAGCAGGTCGTTCGCTGTTCATGGATGAAATTCAGTTTTCTGTCTTTCTCTGTGATTTTTTTATAGACAAAAACAGACGCACTTCCACAAAATACCAATGGATCCTCTGCACTCGGTGTGGATTCGAACGCCGGTAAGTTTGGCTAATTATCCTAGCTCTTCTGATTATTGTTGCCTCATGCTCACACGGCATTGTTGACGGTCACTTTGTATTCCTGGTTCTGAAGTAATGCACACATCTGTACGCATTTTATGCGGTTTTGTAAATTAATCAATTTGGACCCAAACAGTCGGATTAGTTCGGTTCGTCTGTGCCTTGCTACACGACCGGATTTGGTATCCACCTTACATCTCCAGGTCGTTCGGACTGCAAACTGTTCGAGGCCGCTTGAACTCACCTTTCTGCTAGTACGATCCTGTTCGTAGCGACAACATCATAATTTTGGTGACCCAGAGCTGAAAAGTCTTCTGAGGTGGGCTGAATGGGGGGGGGGGCGAGATGGCTCAACTGGTTAGAGCGCGAATGCCCTGACCGGAAGATCCGTGGTTCGAACTCGGCCTCTGCCTCTCGCTTTCCCCTGTCTAGGCTTGGGCAACCTGGCAGTGTCCCCGCTCTCGTGTTTTCTTCTGGTGGCATAGCACTTAGGCACCGAAATGGGGCTACGGCTGAACGAATGAAAAAGCCAAACGCAGCGTCCAATTGACGGATACATAGGAATTTCGCTACAAACCAAATACAGTTTTGTTTGGTTAGTCTGTTGGCTAAACAAAATGACACATTTTAGCTTTGTAGTTGATCCGTAAGCATCCAGCGGAATTTCGATCGAATAAAGGCTTGGTCGACCATATGCCATATGTGCAGACGTATCATTCTAGGGACCACTGTGTGATTATAACGACAGTGAAAAACTCAAAGGTGTCTTGCACTCAGGTTAGTACGTGGATTCGTGGCATGACATTTTTACCAAAGAGGGCCCACCACTTGTAAATATGTTCATGTGGAGCACCTGAGCACAATCAAGAAACGACTGAGAAGCATCAGTGGAACAGGCTAGGGTGGGGACTTCGGTTTGACCATAATTTTCTCGCTTCATCACCTTCCGCAGTCAAAGTATGCCTAAAAGCGTCCTGGGCCTATATTCAACGCGTATCAAAGTCAGTTTCGACAATGTGAATCTACCATCGATTTAAGATTGGAGTGTTCACAGGGGCAAAAACTTCTCGTGTGTACGCAACCGGTGCACTCGTACGTCGAGATGCCCAGTGGGTGCGCTCTAGAGACATGCACGCGCCGCCCATTGTTCATTTGAATTTCCACGCATGAGTGACAAGACTCGCCATTTTTGAGCTAGTTGCTTTGTGTATGTTGAAGATTCGTCGAAAACAAAAACTTATTTCAGAGGTCACTCGTATGGGATCGGCTAACTGATGCTAATAGGGTAGAAACACGTTTAATCTCAACGCGACCACTGTAAGGATAGATCTAAGGTTTACGCTAATTAAGTATTCCTGCCTCCGATTTTCCGCAGTTTGCGATGCCATGAATCTATCGATTAATTTTTTTGTGTTTTAAGGCCAGTCTATCTTGAATATCAGACCCTGTGAGTGAACAGACAACCCTGTGGTTAAAATATTCTATATTGTGCACTTCATTCGAGATTTCATGGAAAAAGTGAAGCTAATTATGTTGAAGAAAAAACGGAAAATTGCTGACTGTATACATCATTTGTCCACTCTGTAATTCATGAGAGGCATTGATCTCAAAGTTCTGTTGACAACTCCGTAGTTAGAGCTTTTCCGACAGTTACCAGGAACGATTGGTCGTTCTGAAAATTTACAGCCTTGGGTTCAGTATAGCTCAGTGGTTAGGTCACGAACTTACTGACATGCAGGTCCATGGTTCGAACCCTAATCGGGCATTTTGATTGCTCCTATCTAGGTAATATCCCAGTCCTCATGGTTCTTTCGGGTGGTATGGTAGCTAGGCACCGAAATTGTTAGATTGCCAATAGTTATTATTTGTAGCTTAGCGCGAGGTGGTTCGGTGGTTAGAGCGCGAATTTACTGACCGGAAGGTCCATGGTTCGAACCTGTAGGTACTATTGTCTTTTTACTCGAAGTAATATCAGAAGGTGAAATAGCACTAACAATAAACAGTTATGTATAGTGGCTACCAGAGACACAAATTACAACTGAATAATGGACAAAAGAAGTATGAGACTTATCGAGTTCTTCGTTTGATAAGTTGTAGCCGATGCAGCCAATTATGTTTATGTTGTGAGTGAGGATGCGCTTGCATTGTTTGTCTTAGGATAAGATTCCAACACTCTTGGTTAGTCGTGGGGCGCATGTTCGTCATAATGCGGACAGGAATGAAACAGCGGGTGTGCATGCGTTGAACAGATTATATGAGTGGATGAAGGTAAACATTAATGAGATAGTAATCGGACTGTGAAAGCGGTTGAAGATAAACGTTGATGTGGTGGTAACCAAACTCTGGTAAAGTGGTCAAAGATAAACGTTGAAAGGATGGCAACCAAACTCTGGTAAAGTGGTCGAAGATAAACGTTGAGGGGATGGTAACCAACAAACCCGAGCTCCGCCTCTCGACTTCCCCCTGTCTAGACCTTAAGCAACCTGGCAGCATTTCAGCCCTCGTGTTTCGTTCTGGTGGCATGGCAGTTAGAGACCGAAAGGGTGCTACATCTGAACCATTAGTCTCAGCTTACAGCCTAGACTAATCGAAAGATAGTTGAGCGTACTGAAAGATGACATGGAATGTTCGTCAACGAAAACATGTCGATCGACTCGCAGTCCGTCAGGTCGACCTAACTATTCTTGCCTTCATTGCTTCACAGCTACCCTCATCTCGTTACGCTTTGTTTTGCTCCTTCATTAGCTCTTCGGTTTACTTTTGGCGCTATTTTCAGTGTGTCTAGTTCAGTTCTCTTGGCTCGGGCTTACACGGGCTACATGAGGAGTAGAACAGTCGTGCACGCCCGGTCAAATCATCTGGTAGAACCTGACAGTCATCACAGTCATTGACGACAACGTTATCTTTCAACATTCACAGCACGAACAAAAAGGCATCAGTTCGGTCACCAGCAAAACCGAAGTTTTGTAATAACTAGTCAATGCACACCGTTTTTGATCCCACCACTGTCTCCATAATCAAATAAAAAATCAAATCGTTCAGCTGTGGCACCCTTTCGGTGCTTAGCTGCCATGCCAACGGAAGGAGGTACGAAAACCGAGTGCCCAAGCCCAGATGCTGAGGTTGGATTCGAACCGCGGACCTTCCGCTCGGTGAGCTGTCTCCGTAACCACTGAACTATCTCGAGTTCCATAATATCTGAACCACACAAGTACTAACTGTACAGACGCAGACGCTACAGGTGGTAGCGCCATTTTCTGTCCATGTGTAAGCTGCCGAACACCTAGCCACTCGCCACCGAATGGCATGAGGAACGCCAAGAGTTAGGATCTCCCAGGAGGCTCTTGGGATGCATACTTCTGGTGGATGAATCTGTTCCGATGTTGATGATTTTGTTTTTCACTGCCATAAAGCCTCGGCTGAAATACATGGTTTCAGTGGTCTTACTAATGCACTTGGTTTTGACATTTTCGTATTTCACGGCTTCACTGTGCAGCTTTAGGGAGTGTCAAGTTAGACCAATGTAATCGGGCGAACGAATAGTATCAATGGTCTGTTTAGACAATGACGTGTTGATAACTACTTTACAACGGGGTCTAGAGTGGGATCCTCGGGGATGCCTATTTTAGTGCTTCCAGCATCCGCTGGATCCATCCTCAATTCAGCAAGACAGTTTATTGTGTGTGCTCATTGTTGACTGATGGATCACTAGGTCTCTGTGCTCTAAATCTCCTTTGGTTTGTACATTCGAAGCTACTTGGCGTTCCGGACAGAAATTGACCTAAGTCGTCGTTTTCAGTGCGCAGTCTGCTCAACTGAATGCCAAGTTAGCCTGCTGCGTCCCCTAAAAGAGGACAATATGGAAACTGGAATTTTGGGCCCTCTCTCTAACCAGGAAAAGTCCTTGAGGAGTACACCCACGTGTAACTTCTCTTTGTTGCTGCCACAGAGGAACGCACTCTTCTGAACCCCTAATTTACCTTCATCTTTCGTCGCCATTGCTCAGTACTCCACCTTTACTGTTCAGTATTCGCGCTGTCATGTCCAATTTCAGAATTTGGTTTGTTTGTTGGCGATCGGTCATCTGGTACTCCTCGAACGTCACCCACAGCAGAACAAGACGAAGCCGATGAGGTTCCCTTACTGGCTCCGTCAACCGAACGGCAATCAAGTGATACAGCGAAGGACTTAAGCTTAATTGACTTTTAGGGTTTGTACCTGTTCATTTTCACGCTGTCTATGTGATGTCACCAATCCCCCGTGTCATCTGTCATCACCCCCTCCCACAATCCTTTCTCAAGCTCATGTGATATGTGCTGTGCCCATTGCAAATTGTCACTTTTTTGCTTTAATCATCGTTTCCCATAAGTTCTTTCACCTATGAAAAAAGCGTTCCAGAACTTCATTTGGCCTTTTTCGGTAATTGAAGATTATCGCACAACGACTTTATCTCTCATCTATCCTTTATCCCGACGTCCATTTGTTCACATGGCTTTTCTGTTATGTCATACTGTTGTCTGGCTTTACTGTTACTTGTGTGGAAACCCAGCATTCCAAAAGCATACCAAAAACACACGTTGTTCTGACGGACCTCTGTAACCTCAAGTTGGACATCGTAGCTTAGAAGATCTTCACGATTCCGTGCATGAAATTTGAGAAATGGTGTTGTGGTGCAGCGAAACTTTCCGAATGGGTCAGCTGCTGTTTGTATGCTTTTTCGTCGAGCGTTGTGCTACACCTTACAGAACAGAAAGGTGTTCCGAATGATGCTAGACTAGTTCTGTTCGGAAGCAGAGTACATTTATTGGGTTGGGGCAACTTGTCATGGATTGGCACCGCAGAGCCATGGTGGTAGAGTAAGTGCTTGAGCCCATCAGTCCAGGTGGGGTGGGGGGGAGTAGTGAAACCTCCTAAAGGAGCACACCTCTTGTATTTATCCTTGATTTTGCCGCGCACGTTTATGTGTGGCGCAGTCCTTTTCCCTTGAGTGACCACCCAGAAGAATAATTGAAATCAGCCACCCTAGGGAGGAAGACCTATGAGTCTACTTGCACCGCGGTTGTTGAAAGCTCCTGGCATTTTGTACCAACAGTCAATTGCAGCCTTTCTACTGAAAAATAGCTTCAATCTTTTGTGATGCGCTACTCATAATGTTGCTGAAAGTTCGTCGATAGCCCACGACCGGTTTTGCCCTTCTTGTGCCTCATCAGATAGGCGCCGTCCCCGAGTTTCTGTCAAACTTATGTCCTACTTGAAACCGAATTGCACGAAATTGGCGAATATGCACTCATTTGCAAACTAATTCAGTTTTTCGAGAGACTCACGTGGAATCCAGCTGAATCTCTCGTTTGTGATGTTTCAGCTTCAGTCTTAGCTATGGTCGCATTTAAAATGTCACTAAAAAACATTTGAACGGACCCGGTCTACTTTGCTAGTTCAGGGAGTCGAGCGAACGCCGCAGTTTTTTCGACGTTCTACAAAAAATCACTGTGGGAACGGTCGCTCTAGGAAGAATTCAGTGGCACATGGTTACATGAACGAAGTGTTCTGATCATACTTCAAGTTTTCTCAAAGAAACTGAGGTCAGTGCGTATTTTCGTTGACGATTGTTTGGGCCAGATAAGTCCGTGACCATGATATCGTGTAACTGGCAGTGTCTGTCCTTGTGTGAGTGGACCGAATACTCTCGGTGGTTCGTTTTGATACCCTGTTAGCTAAAAGAAAGATTTTCAATACTGACATGCGTGAACTAGTGGACGTACATGTCAAAATCGAATGCTGAGCAACGTCTCAAGGTTCATTATCTTGTGTTCTCACGAGTCCTCATTCCGTTTAGCCGTTACGGATGTAACTGCCGTAGAACAAATCAGACCATACAATAGTCACAGTCTTTGTACGCGGGACCAAGGTTATCCGAAAAACCGATGGCTGTTAGGCTCACTCTGATGTCATTTATAGTGTTCTGGCGGAGCCGATATTAACAAGAGTGTGGCAGTTCGAGTAGTGCTGTGACTTGAGGCGGCGTGTAATGCTACGCTTTGACAACGCTGCAGCTGTTACTCGGCAAATCGTGCTTTTGGCAGGGGTCTTTGTTTCGAGCTGAGCCTAGATGCTTCATTCTTACTGTTAGCAACAATGAAATGATGATCACCAAGTGGAATTCGGCTTAACGACGTGTTGGTATTTTTTTGTTCATTAATACAGGTTGGAGAATCAGCAGAATGGGTTGAACAAACTTTCTTTCGAGGACAAGCTGTTGACCAACCATCCCTTGCATGTTAGCCAGTGTTCTCGTCACAACAGGCGATTTAGTACTGTTAAAGGGAGACTAATGGGAGGTGAAACTTTAAATTCATCATTCTGTGTCCTCTCCCGGAATGGGTGAAATCGCGATGAGTATTATGGAGATCAGAATTGTGCAGCACTTTAGAAATTGATGGGACTGGGCCGCTCAACAGTGTGGCTCTCGGGAATCCTCAGCAAGGGATTCCGTTTGATTTCGTCTCTCTCTTGATTTTCGTAAATCCTTTCTTAATGTACCACATGCGATTTGTTCGAACTTAGTTCGAGTCGATTTCCGGGGAAGGATATTTTGAAGGAATCCACGGTTTTCTATTAGATCCGAATCACTGTTACCGGGAAACTGTCTATTTTTACCAACGCGGGATGGCTCAGTGGTTAGAGTGCGAGTTTACTAGCCGGCAGGTCCGTGGTTCGAACTCGACCTGGCAGTATCCCAGCCGTCGTGACAGCTAGGTGTTGAAGGGTGTTACAGCTGAGTGATTTTCTTCAATGCCACAATGACCTTTCTGTGACCGTCTCATCCAAGAAATATTTGAGTGACCGGAACTGACAAGAGGTATTCCCCGTCTCGTCGCTCCACGTGTCTGTCGGCTTGTTTTACATGTACCGTATCTATCCTATCTTTGTGCCATTCCATCACATTGCTCATCATCAGCCGTTCGTGACCGAATGATTTAGTTTTAAACTGGTAATCGGAGCATCTTTGTTCTGAATGTTGCTGAGTGTTCGCGAGGTGCACCTCTCTGGTGATTCCTGATAAGTATGAAGAGGCTACATAGCGCTATTCGACACAGATTGATCTCCACTGCACAACAAAATCTCTAATGAAGAGGTCCTTAGTCACATACTACTAACGTGGGAATATATCTGGATTTTTTGACTCCATCTTTTAAAATAGGCTTCACCAATACCCATGAAAAGTGGTAGTAGTCGTTCAGTCGTAACACCCTGCTCGGTGTCTAGCTGCCATGCCATCCGAAGGAAGCACGAGGGCTGGGATGCTGCACAAGCCTAGGCAGGATAAGTCGAGATGCAGAGGTCGGACTCGAACGACGGACGTTCCGGTCAGTAAATTCGCGCTCTAACCACTGAGTCACTTCGCCCACCCCTGGAAATCACAGTTTCATCACATTGGAAAACGCTTGCTTTCACATGGCTTCCAGGATATCAATCAGTCCAACTGTGAGGAAGCTTGCAGAATCATCTCGAAGCTATGCGACTATCAGGATAATGTGGATGGTATGTCTAACCGAGTGGAACTGATGCAACCAAGCGGGTATCCAAACCCGAATGAATTCTAATTGGCGCACATGGGGTACACACTAAATGTGTAAATTTGGTCAGCGTGATCTGGCATCAAAACTGGACGTATTCGTTTGTTCCTTGCCGGAACATTAGCAGCTCTCCCAGTGTAGCTCAGCTCCTCTTGACGTGACCTGGCCACGCATTTCTGTGGGCGTCTTACCTCTGCGTGTCACAGTTCTCATCTATGTAATGGATTCGGTCCGTTAACCATTGTGCTATTTAAATCTGCATATATCGTACGACTCTGCCGTCAGTGTTTCGCATTGAAATAACTCATGACCGTGTATGCGAACCGTTTTTGCAATACCCTGTGTTCCCCGAGGCATGTACCACTCGATAAACTGCATCTCTACTACACTTTTTCACTGAACTGGGGAGCTTGAGTTCGCCTAATTGAGATCTCCGTTTTGCCATCTCAGGTTGTACGCCCATAGAAAATAAGAAAGTGTGGCAGCCATCCAAAAACGCGGTCACCAGCCTGTAAACCTGAGCCATCCACCTCGAACCCCAGTCCTCAACTTTGTTCCCAATCTCCCGTGCACAGTCTTGGGCTGTCGAGTGTCCAGTAGCTGTACTAATTCAGCAGCAATAATTTCGGAGATCAGACTGTTTTCAAATTAGATGCGCCCGGCACTCGTTCGGTGCCGGGTGCATAAACGTCTTCGCTTTTTATTTTCGAAATGACGCTCCTGCCGGACACGCCAAGTAGATTGGCAGGTTCGACCGGACCAACCATATTACAGCCGTCCGTTCGATGAGTCCGATTTATCCGAACTTGGAAGCGGCGAACGGCGTGTCATTTTCTAATAGAATTAGTTTGGCCTTGGGAGCAATTTTCTTACATTTCACAACGTCGTTTATCAGAGGCTGGTTTTGTTGGCTGTAGCGGTTTGTTGTTGGATTAGCAATGTGTCATTTGCGATTACCTTTCAGAGGATTGGATCGTCTGTAACCGGCCAACACTTTGACATAATTACCCAGATTTTACCTAGTATTGTGCTTAACTCTCGTCCTATAAGCAGCCTTGATTTAATCACTCAAAGATGATAAGATTTTCATCTCATGTCATTTCAACCAAAGCAGTAGGAAACGTTTGAACAGCACTTGAGGATGAGTCGTACTGAACTTTTACTATTTAACTGTTAAATCGGTCAGACTCCATTCGTGGCCTCCTAATGAACCATGGAATATACACTTTGGATGCAAATTGTGTACGATATTCATCTAGCTAGAACGGGTAATGTTGTAAAGCTGGCTTCATTTGTTGCGGAGAACCATGTTTCCTTTTTGCGTGTCAACACGAGCTTCGGGATCAAAGGATTTTGTGGAATAAATCGAGAATAGGAAATTATCAAGTGAGAAGAACCAGGTACCATTTTTAACAGGACAATATACAAAGAATGACGTGGTGAATTCCGTGTTCCAATGCGTGTAATTACTGACAGTTAGCTGATTTCTGCTGATGCTTACCGACCACGGTTTTATTCGGAAAGCAGTAAGATGTGGTAGTGACGTGTTTTGTATTATACCTAACGTGATGAGGATCCCAAAACCAAAAAAAGATATCAGACATTGAATTTCGAATGGCAACCTACACGGTTTGTTTGGCGGAGTATAAGAACTAATGGAAAACAGCAAGACTGTTTCATTTAGTGTCGCGATCTTCTTTTGATGGTAAACTGTTCAGACTAGATGTGGGTGCTACATGTGATCTTCCAAACTAAAGTTACGAAAATACCTGCCTTCAAATATCACTTGTTTTAGCTGGATTTCGATGCTACACTCTGACTGAATGCTGGATAAATTTTCCTTAGAACTCTCACCATCCTAAAGACAGTTCGAATTCAAATGTCTCTCCTTGATGCACTCAATGTATGCTCGAGTTTTAGTCAACTAATTTAGCAACTTCAACTGGAAGGAAAAACACTATGCTTACTAATAGTATGCTGCTTGCACTTCGTTTAAAAA